GTGTAAGCAATTTCTTCTGCTGCAATGGAGACTTGAGAGAACCACAAACTAATCCTCGCTGCTTGACGTCCTCATTTCTCCTCGTTTTTGCAAAAAAAATCTGCCATAAGCAGATTAACGCCTCAAACTCAGGGTGTAAGCTCTCTGTTTGTAATGATTTTTGTCAGATGACGGATTCAAAGACCTTTGCAGGAAAAAAAAACAAAACAAAACTGAGAAGTAGTGAAACAAATTATTCTACAAGAAACACTAACACAGCTCTAAATCAGGGCAGATGGCTCAGAGCATCCCGCACTCACAATGGAGAGTCAGAGTGGGACTTTTTTGTTGTTGTGCTTAAATTTTTCTTAATAGACTCTTATTTTAGTTTAGGTTTGCAGGGCTTCTCAACAGTGTAAACACCTCTGTCATTGTGACAGGTGTGTTGTGTTTGACACCATGGTAAATCCTTTAACCCTTTATTGTTGAATTTATCACATAAATTCAAATGAAAACATAAATGTGTAAGAAAAAGTGATAAAGTAAAAAGAGAAAAAAGTTGCAATGTCCTTGTTGAATAAGTGCAATTTATTCAATTCAGTTTATTTACAGTACGCCAATTCACAAAACGTCAACACAAGTCATTTCACAAAAAATAGTTACTTCAATCCAATCATGCCTACATTCCAGTTGATCCCAGGTATCAAACAATGGAGGCCAGTTCAGTTTATTATTCAAACTGATTAGAAAAAGTTTCTATCTAAGGATATCCAGCACCTTGCAGCAAGCAAAGGCAAAATTGGAGAGTAGTAGGAGAATGTAGCAGAGCAAGAAGAAGTGGTCAGTTTGGGCCTGGTTTGCACCTGGAAAACTGTGTGAAACAATAACTGTTTCAGACTGGATTTGGACGTGTTGAACATTAGTGATTTACAGATTAAGTACATGCTGACGTACAGCAGAAAAAATGAATAATACTTTAAGTGTCAAATTGGGCATTTTGGAAACCTGGCCTGAACTTTGTCTTATATGTTATAACCCCTCTATTTTTCTTCTGTTTCATTTAATGAGGATACATTTATGCAGAGATAATGTTAATATAATATGTTACAATTTGAAAACCTTTAGAGCTCCTGTACAATCATTCTCAGAGGAAAAGAGTTTTGTAAAACCAATTTTTTCTCATTTCTACTGTGTACTACCTTTGTTAACCTTTTCCCAGTAATGCATGGACTGATATTTCTCAATCCTTGCAAATCTTTCAAGTCTTCCCTTTACTAGGACTTGGAAAGTTTTCAAATAGACTTTGTGGTTGCAGAAACATATACATTTTTTATGGGAATGCAATCTTTCAAACAGAGCTAAATCTAGGCTTAATCATCAAATATAATCCTACCACAATAAAAGCTGTGCCATGGCCCCTTAATTTAGCTTTAGAACTAAGTCTCTGTCATTAGCAGTTACCTCACTAGTGGTATCTTGTCAGACAAGATACAAAGCACTGCACTGACATTTTCTCTTCATACCAGGTAAACAAAATCCTGCCAGATTAACATTTGGGTTTTGGTGACAGCTGTTTCTGAGCAGCCATTCAGGTACAAGATATAAAATGCTCACTTTTTATCTTCAAACTAAGACACTCAAACATATAACAGGGCTTCAAGCTAAAAATCCATCTCCTTTAACTCTTAAAACAGTGGACACCTGCCTGTTGATGGTTTAGTGTTGGCAGATTCACTGTTTTAATGGATCATAACCCTAAGTTATATTCACAAAACTGTGTTTATTTTTTTCATTGAGCATATCTTAAATATTCACATAAAATTGCAGCTTGGAGAGCTGTAACATCAAGGCTCAATGCTACATGACTCGCCTGTGGCTGGCTTTTGCAAGGCAGTCAGTCCAGGAGCACCATTCATTTTTATTGGTACTAATTGTGTTTAAACCCAAGAAATAAGGCAGACTGTAGATGTCTACCTGCAGAAGTGTCAAGATGGTTTCCACTGTGCATATTGATGAATATTTGTTAGGTTCTGTGTTTTGAGTTCGAGTTTCTGTCTAGTCCTGTTTTCCCCTGAGTCTCTGTTGTCTTGATTGATCCCAGCTGTGTGTCGTTCCTGTGATTACCCTCCCAGTGTATTTAGTCCCACCTGTTGTCAGTGTTCCTTGTCGGATCCTCGTCGTGTCTCTCCCTCGTCTCACGTCTGTGTCTGTTCCTGTGCTGCCAGTGATTTTCTGTTGTCCCTCCTGGTTTATCATTAAATTATCTCATATCATCATGACTACCTGGGATTCCCGGCGTCTCTCTCACCGCTCTCGTCAACACATCATGACAATATTCAGATATATTTGGTGCTTGAATGATTAAAATAGACATTAATGGGTGTTCTTAGGAGGGATCTCAAATATTGTTGTACTTTAGCTTTTTGCGGGCAGCTGTGGTCCTTAATCCCCAGAGATCACACTAGTCAGGTATTCTTAGTCTACCAGGCAGAGTCACATCACCATCTCCTCTTTGACAAGAAGAATCCAGTGTTCTGTCTCAGTATCGCAAGATCTCTTTGATTCAGTTTTAGCATTCAGTCCTATTGTGAAACTAATTAACCTGAAATAAAGTTTGGGATCTTTCTCAAATTTGCCCAGAAGGCCATGGGGAAGAGCTGTTCTCAAATCCTCGAGATCTTTTGGTCCAAATGTGCAAATCGTCAGGTTGACCTCAAAATCTTGAGATTCTGACAGATTAATACTAAAAAAATTATAAATTCTCAAAATGTCCCACCAAAAGTCCTTCAAAAAGTTAGCAATTCAGCAACACATTTATTTGTTATTCTTTTAATAACAAATAAATATGTTTTTACATTTTACATGTTAAATGTAAAAATGTTTTTTGAAAACACTTCATTTTAACCAGGGTATATGGAGTTTTAGTATTTACTGTGGATGTAACTACTGGGACAGTGCATCAAAGTATCTTAAAGCACCAGGACTGAACAGACCAGGCAGCAGTCGCAGGCTCATAAGCCAGATGGTGTGGTGTTTTGCCACAGTTGTACACAGCTTGTTGTTACATGATTGTATAAAGCATGTGCCTAACAAATGGGACTGCAGTCCTGGCCCGGCTTGCCGTTATAAATCACTGTAAACAGAATTATTAAATTTCTCTCTTCAACATGTGTTTGATGTGTTCCTCTGCTTGGCTTCCCATGGAAGACACACAGCTGACTGCGTCTGGCGGTTCAAAGATCCACCCCATGCTGCGCCTCGCGCTAACTCGTTCTGGAGTGGAAATGTCCTCAAGTTTCACAGAAAGTCTGGACATCGCTGAATAATGAATGATATGGAAGTGAGAAGACTTGTTATTGGGGCTCTACAATTTTGCTACAAAGGGGACAATAGCAGCTTTTTTGTGGGTAGTTATATTTAACCATAGCCGACATGGACACACACTATGTGGAGCGTTTAGGGATTGAAAATGCCCTCTCCCCCCGACTGAGTTAATTCTTCCCGCTCCAGTGCGAAGCGTGATCACTTTCCAAGATAAATCAAATCATTTTCTGAAGCCTAATTGCTGTAACCATCCTCTCCAATGTTTTAGAAAGAGTCGGATAAAGCGTTGAAGTTGACGACCGACGAAGAAAATCTCTTGCAGCATTTGGTTTTTCAGGCTGTCACCGATTAAACTGTTTATCTTCTGATACAACGCCACCTTACTCTGAGCAATTACAGCTGTGTAAAAGGCTGCTTCCGTATTAGATGGAAATCCTTTTCAAAGAGAAAACGAGACTCCTCTCTGTGTGTCACCTGCTCCTTCTGCTTCCTGCCCGCTTTGCCGCTGTTTTCAGGTCGAAGGTGTTTGTTTGGCTCGGAAAATATCTTGATTTCTTTCTGTTTGCTGCAAATGAATCACTGCTGCGGTCCTGTGGGAAAGCAGCCCTCTCTCCCGCAGGCTCTTCTCTATTGTGTGTGGTAATAAGGCTCTCGAGAGCGTGCACTTACTTATAACGGAACTGGAGAAGGGCCATGAAAGACCATTGTGCTGCACATTATGCCTATTAAAAGAGAGACGTCTGTAGCGGCGCCGTGTGAGTGCAGCCGCGCTGCGGCCCACAAGAATTCTGCTGTTTTTGAGACATTTGATTGTAGAGAGGCTGGCAGGCAGTGCTCATCTGACATTGTTTTTCGTGTAATCAGCTCCCGCTCGCACTTTCTATGATGGCCCCGCTCCTGCTCTACAGGCGGCCACGGACTTGGCACCAAAAATAGCTGATTTTCTGCAACCCAAGTGACAGATTAGGTCTATTATGCGCTGCCTTGCAAAGGTATCCATCAGGTTTGTTGGAGAACATTAGTGAACAAGACCAAAGGAATACAGCAAACAGGTCAGTGAGAAAGTTGAGAAGTTTAAAGTAGAAACCCACAGTCACCTCTGGGTGACTCAGGTGGGAGAATGTGTTGACAGGTGGGTCATAAAAAAGGGGGTTTTTTTTTTTTTTTTTTTTTTTTTTTTGAGTTGAAGGCAATAGGAACAAGATCAGAGTTAATTCTGAACAGGGCATTTTGTAATTAAAAATCTTAATGTTAGTATCAATTTCAACTTTATTTATACATCACTTTGTAAGAGACATGTTGTACCAAAGTATTGCACATCAAGAACAATGAAATAATTGATATCAGCGATAAAAAAAAAATAAAAAAAAACTGTTCACAAGAACCTTACTTCCAGAACTCCTGGGAAATCTGCATAGGGACCTCCCACAATGTCATTAGCCTTATGATGTAAAAGTGCACAAAAATGAGCAGTTAATGCACCAAAGGGCATGTGAAGACACTTTTGTGAACATCTTGAACTTTCCCATCCACAAAGTTTGCCATAAGCCAGGGTGAAGCAGTCTTCTGTAAGAATGTTCTCTGGTGAAATAAAAGTTTTCAGCCAACATTCAAAATGCTGTTTGTGGTGGAAATTCGCGTCGATACATCAGCCTAAACCTATCGTTTGTATTGTGAAACGTGATGGTGGCGTCGCCATGGTAGCATGGTTAGGGAAGAAAACCTGTTACAGCCAGAGGAAGAACGCAATACTTTAGACTGGTATCATGAATTTTAGAAGGCACTATACTGTCAAAGATGAACAAAGTACAGCAGTAAAATAACACTATGGTTAATATCTTTTCTGAAAGGTTGTTTGAGCTTAGTGAGACAAAACCTTTATATCAGCAAGAGCCGAGAGAGTCGCACACCTAACAGCTGCGCACAACTTCTGTTAGCTATTTACAGAGGAGCTTTAACGAAGCCCCATTAAGGTGTTTGTTCTTCCAACAACAACAGCACAATATTTTCCCAGCTGCACCTGAAATCAAACTGAGACTTAAATGAAAGAAATCAAAGCAGAAACACTCCTCAAAGAAATACGTAGCAGAATCACCAGGATCAAACCTGAACTGCATATTTATTTTAAAAGACGATGTGAAACGATCTTTTCTCACCTATTAGGACTCTTTCATTTCATAAGCTTAATTGTTTTCCAGGGGGATTTCATGTGATAGATTTCCACTTGCATAGGTAGTTACATCAATTGATCATTGATATAACTACCTATGTAAATGAGGTGGTTGATGTTTTTCAACATTTTTACAGATAAATAAAAATTACGAGGTATATTAGTTAGAAAATCTAGATTCCCATTTATTAATGACATTTTCCAATTCATCTTAATTTTGGAGTAACTACACCTACAAACACTGACCTACTTTTTCTCAAAAGCAACCCAAAGCAATTTCAAACTGTGGGCCTTTTCTTATGTTTTGTATCTACATTCATTTACACATCTGACTATTTTGTTGCTTTTAATTAAATTAAAATTGTTTAGTTCATTGTTGATAAAAAGGCTCCAAAAGTTTGTTTTGAAAATGTTATTTTAAAAAAATGTACAGTGTTTAGGGCCCCAAGTGCTTTCAACTTAAACAACTTTGGCCCTCATGGCAAAAGTTTGCACACCGCTGATTTCGGTATTGTTGCTTGTGTGGGTGGGTGAGCAAAAAATCATAACATTTTTCCAGCACTTTGTGTTGTGTTGATATGTTACACAAAATCCCAATGAAATCCCTAGAACTTTGCAGCATAATATGATAAAATGTGAGAAAACTCCCAGGGTATGAATTCTTTCTCATAATAAGGGTTACAAATCAGTGAGCACCTTTTTGGCGCCACTGATGCTTGTCGTTGCTTGTAGCCATTTTTCAGAAATGACGGATTTCCTCCCACCTGTGTTTCTTCTTAATAACATGCATCTGCATGAGAAACTGGAGAGTCCGCTGCCATTTTAAGTGAATTATACCCGTCGTTGATCACCCATAACACCAACGATAATCATGCCCTCGGCTCTAGGATGCAAAAGTGCGAAGGCAAGCTCGCAGGCATTTGTTTTAATTGTCGCACCATAATGATTAAGTGGAAATTTTATGCGGTTTGACTGGACTTCGGAAAGATGGATGGCCTGCAATGCTATCTGTTCTCCAAGTCAAGTCCTTGGCACCATAATGGTTCACTGCTGCTTACATTAACACCGAGCTGGAGGGCATGATGTCTGGGAACCCCACCACCTTTTATTCCTCTCATGCAATCGAACGTACAAGTCACAATGTTCTCATGAGTCTGGCATTTGTCGTCGCCCCGGTCTGCTCTGAACAGTGTTTTAATTTCTTAATTTCCATGTTAATTTTTTCTATTCTTTCTGATTACATTTTTTTGTCTGCTTCAGGTGGAAGTTAAACGGTACAGAAGTCACTCCCAAAGCTGGATCTCACTACAGCCTTTCTGGAGGCAACCTCCGAATCAGCCGTCTGAACAAAGACCAAGACGCCGGAACGTACCAGTGCCTCGCCTCCAACTCCTTCGGGACCATCGTCAGCCGAGAGGCCAGCCTAACCTTTGCTTGTGAGTTTTTTCCTCGCCTCTGGGCAAACTTCTTTGGCTTCTGTGGTTGCAAAAAAAAAAAAAAAAAGATACATTATTGCAACCGAGGATAACAACGCAAAAATTTTCTTTGTCATGCTGGGGAGAGTTTTTCCCTTGAGTGTCATTAGCACCCGCTGTGTGCTGACTGGAGTTTACACTAGTCAATGCAGCAGATCAAACACCAGGCAACAATAAAGATGTGAAAGCATAAAGCGGGTTATGGTAATTAAAAGAACTGCCACCGGTGATGCTGGCTGCCACTAAAGAGCTTTTATTTACTTTTTAACTGAATCTGTGCTTTCCTGTGGCATTATGTTGCTGTACTCTGAATTTATTAGGTAGGAGGGGGGTAAAACAGACCTCAAAGCAAGAGAACTATCAGACGTGCATGAGACATGCATCAAAAGTTGTGCTGAGGCGTGATCTGGGAGGGATTGGGATCCGATGGTGTGCTAACAGGAGGCTCTGTTAATCAGACTGAACGGACGGACCTCAGAGGACAGTTTGTGGGGCAGCGGTCTCTCTGGGTGGCTGAATTAACAACTAGCCTCCAATAAGCACGTTGCCAAGGGAACAATGAAGTCCAACGGCAGATAATGAGTTCAGACGTCTTCTCTTTCCTTTCATAGCTGAATGATGTGAGGCGGCTGGCTACCTGGCAGATAAATCGATTTTTATCAATTAATAAATTTTTTTAGTTACATTTTTGGAAAACTTTGTTTGTTTTTAAATCAATGCATTCCTTGAGTTTCCATAGTTCACAGTGATGTCAGTACGCCCAGTGCATGCCATCTTTTTTTGAAAAACATGTTTTTCAGCTTTGTCATATTTTATCTACTGGAATAATGTCATAATTTTACCAGAATACAGTTGTAGTAATATGAGAATAAAGTCATACAGCAGTAAAATCTGAATATTACTGAAATATTAGGAGAATGAAGTAGAACATTTATGAGAACTCCAACACAAAAAATAACAGATTAAAATGAGAAATGTCTTGGTCCTTTGATTGCTTCGTGGACCATGCTAGCCTCGTAGCATGGTCCTGATCATTTCAAAACACTATTTTCTTAAGTCCTATGTTTTATTTCAACGACCATAGCATGTTCTTTAACAGAAGTAGTAGTTTAAATTTTCTGTTAAATTAACAGAAAAATTCTAGAAAAATGTTTTGATACCTTACTTATGCATCAAAGCATATGTCCCTAACCCTTATCAGATTTTCATTAAACCGATAAAAAATATTGCATGACAGATTGGTTGTTTCTAGAAGGCAGAGGAGATTTATTTATTTATTTATTTATTTATTTATTTATTTATTTATTTATGTATTTATTTATTTATTTATTTTTATTTTTTACAGATTATCCATCTCATAACAGTCACGACAGTGATGGCTTCAACAAATATGTAAACAAATATTTTTTATAAAACATACATACTGCAGCTTTAAGCCTGATATAGTGCTGAGGAGCACTTCCTCTACCCAGCGGCCAGTCAACTGGCTGATGGAAGGGAATTCACTTGCAGGATGCTATCCCTGCTTTTCCTCCACATGCAGTCAGAAATAAAGCTGACGGAGGTGAGATGCTCTCTCTTTCAAAGCCATTTGTTCAATGTGTGGAAAAAGTGCAAATCTCCTGTGGGAAGCATCACACAGAAGAAGTCATCGACTTTCGAAGCAAGTGTCTGAGGACCGATTTATACCTAATTGCAAGCCTGGAGACAGTGATGCAACTGTGAGCACTGACTCTATTGTAATCAAGTATGGAATGCCAGTAAGGCCAAAAGTTATGTGCTTGTGTTAGGTTGTGGGTCTGCTGTAGTCCATACAGAGCACCCTGCACCACAGCAGCAGAAATCCTCTTATCAGCCCTCCCTTCTCTTTGGTCTCTGTTATGACAAACAAGTCAGTGCAACACACAGACTTTGTTCATAGCTGATTGTTCTAGCTTTATTTCTCCATCGAACACAGATAGAATTGGTTTTTATACAGATTTATGTGTCTATTGGGCTGAGTCTTAATTTTGTCATGAGTGTGTTTACTGGATGGGTGAGGAAACTTGTCTCCATTTATAGATTTTCAACATAAAAATTAAAGTGGAAAATTGACCATTGTGTTGTATTTTTATGTTTCATTTTTATATTCATCTTTAGGACAAGGGAAGCACTATGAGTGGTGGTTTTTAATCCAAAATCATCAAATTAAATCTCAAAGAAAAATGCAGACTTTTATTAACCAGAAACACAATACTGTCTGCTTTGAAATCTGATTGGTCTGCTGTAGAAAAATATTGTAGTTTGGAGAACTCCAATCCATTTGCACTCTTGTTTTTTAAGAATCATGTTTTGTGATTTGTTGAGATGCGTTGAAGAATGAGGACAATGCACAACTCTGCAGACTCGTCCAGACACACCTGCAAAGGTTCAGGACAATTTTAGGAAACAGAAAAAAAATCTAACTGTTCCTGGTGGATAGAATTTATGTACTTTATGTACCAGAGCTATTTCAATTTTTAAACTGCGGATTGGTTTTAGATTGGTTATGTTTTAGAGGGGCATGGGCTCAAGTATGGTAGATTAAAATTTTCATCAGGTGACAGAAGTTAGAAGCAGATAACTTTAACAGTTCTGAAAGTGATAAAACCCAGAATACTTTAGTGCAGAATCAGCATTCTCAAACTCTTTTATGCTAATGTTTGAAGAACACGATGATGGATTGTTTGACTGATCTCAGGGATTTTAACTGACAGCCCCGGACTCCATATTCCTGGAGTTTCAGTGAGTCAATAACTCCCACCACTGTACAATCATTACTGGTCAGGTGAATTGATGACACTGCCAGCAAATGACTGATAACTGCTCAGATTAGATTCTGAGGTTTAGCATTTGGAGACAAGGCCACCAATCTGTCTCAGGCCATTTGTTTGGCCCCCTGGAGCTGTGGAAAGTCAATCCATGATCCCATTCTGCTGGTGGATTTCCACTGTGATGAGATGACAGTTTCATCAATTGTTGGGGCTCTGACCTTACCAGTCTTCAGTCGCTGTCACAGAGCCGGGGAGGGGTGTTCACCGTGTGTATGACTGGGTGTCATCTATCTTCTTTATTACTCATGGAATAGCTTAATTAACTCCGTACCATGATTGAATGGTGAGGACCCAAGCGAGTAATTTAAAGGGCAACTGGTATTTCTGGAGTGTCATATAATTATTTATAGAAGTTTAAAGGAATCCTAGACAACAAATCTCTACATGAGACATAAGTTACTTTTAGACAAGGACAGTTTTTAATTATCCCACCTCTGTGTTGTGATGGCCGTCTGCTCAAGGTGGAGCAACAATCATAACCACATGACTTTTAGTTACTCGTTTACTTAACATATGCCTGACAGATCCACACTTGCTTGTAAACTTGAAATGTAGCACGCAGGTAAAATGCTTGCTACACTGTTCCAAGAAAACTAACTATCGAGGAGCTCCAGTAGTATTTTGGTTCTTAGGCTTAAGTAAGGTGATTAAAGAAAAACCTGAATTTCAGAGTTTCAAAGAGGTCATTAAGTGTCAGGGAGGCAGTGGTGTCCTGTCAGAGCCAGCAGAGCCTTCTCTGCTAGCCCTAGAAAATTGAAAAGAAAAAGTGTAAAATGTTTTAATCATATTTAAATGTTTTAATAATTTAATTCTTATTCTACAAGCTAGTTGCTTATTGATATTATTGAAGCTTCCTTTAATTTCCTATTTTAAAAAGTGCCTTAAACGTGCTGAGGCGAGCAGTTCCGCCTCAGCACCTGCTGTACTTATTCAGCTACCCCTTTGTGAAAAATGCCATGCAGGCCTTAGTTGACATAACTGACAGAATTATCAGCCAGTCAAAACTGACATACAATGACTGTTTCCCACAGGCCCAGCTGTAAGTCAAGAGCTTCCACTACGTTCCCCGTAACTGTAGAGAACTTGGTATTTACAAAATGGCAGCCGCATCCGCTTATTTTAAATAAGCAATAGCTAGAATAATCTAGAAAATTGGCTGGACTTCTTTGTTTATCATTCATTTCAAGCTTTGTACCAAGTTGAGATGAGAGCATCTACATAGTGGAGAGATCAAATATTATTGTTTATTCATTGTTGTGCTTTGAGTACCGTCTGCTTAACTTCAGTATTTCTACTGCTATAGAACTGCTTCAAATCCAATGTCTGATGTTACACTGTTTTACCTAAAGTCGTGTAACTAGGACTGCAGCTAAGAATTATGTTAGTCATCAATTATTCCAGCGATTATTCTGACAATTTATTGATTATTCAGATAAAAAAATTGGCACATTTTGTGTAGTTAGCCTGGAAAATATATTTCTAAAAATGACTCATCTTCATATCACAGACCTGTTTGTCCTTAATGATAAGTTTCCCATTTATGCATGCATCGCTGATGAAGGATCTGTAACCTGAACTAAATTACCCATGTTGATCTCGTAGAAAAAAAGGCTAAATATTATATAGTAGAAATAGTTTAGAAACTATAATTACTATAAAAATTAGAAAATGATCAACTTTTAAAATTTCAGCTGTAATGGTTACTATAAAACGCAGAATCAGACGAACTGAAATAAACCCGTATATACCCGTCATGCTTAACAAAGAGCTAGGAACAGTTAAATTACAACTATCAAGAAAATATGCTTTATTAACAAAAACTGGCAACATAAAAAAATATTTTTTTAAAATACATCAACTTAACAGAGAAGCTCTTCTGAAACACAGAGGGAACTACATTCAGTGCTGGACTGAGCTCTGTCTGGAGAAATTGAAGGATGATGGTGTGGCATGTTTTTATCACGATAACAAACTTATTGATGTGTGATTTTGATTCTTTCTAATTTATAGAAAACACCACAATTCCAAAGTTGTGTTTTTTCGACATTAAAAGAAAATGTACATTTTTGCACACATTTGTAATGGAAATGCATAAAGTTAGCTAACAGT